TACAATAGTTTAAATATTATAACTAAAATAATTTCAATTAATTCATGACACAATTTAAAATAAAATTGTTAAGTTAAATACTTACTTCAATTTCTTGAGCCTCATCATTACAATATATAGGCAGTTGGTCTTTTCCTTTTCCTTTGTGCTGCCTTCTACTAGTGTAGACCTTAGGATATGTTGGTGGATGACCCTCGGGGTTTGCTTGTTGCTGTAAAGAAAAAAAAAAAAAGAGAAAATATTAAAATCAATAGAAAATAAATTATAAATCATAAATCATTAATTATTCATTAAAAATATGTTAACTTTTATACCATTTTCTTTCTATAAACATTAACGTCCATTGAACTACTGGTATGCGTCACCCTCGGTCCTTTTGCTCGATTAGCCTTGGTAAAACTTGACCTTCTCAAATGACCCTCGTCCTGTAAAAGTGGTGAACACATATATTTTCTTAATAAATAATATGATAAAAACATTAAACATTACAATTGAAAATTAAAAAAAATAATAATAAACACATGAATTTACTCCATTACCTCAGTCCATAAATGAACAAGCTTCGCCCATAACTCTGGATTCATATCTGGAGGCTTAGTTTGAAAGTTTCTCTTTGCACACTTAGCTTTCAACTCACTAAGTGCATGCTTGAACTTGATCCTTGCTATCATGTTCCATAAATCTTTTACCTAACCCTCAATCGCAGGATCCCATTCATATGTTTGCTGAAAATAATAGAAATATAAATAAATACATAATTTAATAAAAAATATTAATGATAATACAAAAAAATTTCAAATTACTTAAACTTTGAAGATAGAAATTGAAAATATCTAATTTGTAGATAGAAATTAAGTGTTTAGGGCATACACTGAATATATTCCAATACATGTCCCGATGCTCTCGAAGGACCTGTCCCCACGCTGTGTAGGCATCTGGGAGATTATCCCACAACTGGACCACAATCTGTCGTTTGACCTGTTGTGGCTATCACGCCCCAGAACCCAAAGCCGAGGGCGTAACAGATGCCGTACACTCGTGAGACGGGTCTCACAAGTGCACAAGGCTCGGAACTTATTCAAATCACAAAATCTCAAGAATAAATCTACCTTACACCAGGATGATTTATTTCTAAAATCTA